GCTTTATATATACGATCCGTTCGTTTAGGTGAAACCTAGGTAGGTTTGTCTATTTAAATAAATATTGTTTTTTTATCTATTTATTATTTATCTATATATATATATATATATATATATATATATATATATATATATATATGAAAATATGAAGTCTCCGACGCTGACATTATATTAACATTAAAACAGCATAAATGCATATTACGATTTTTGTTTGTTTTTTTCCAATATTTTTCATTCCGTATATATATATATATATATATATATATTTTTATTTTTTTTATTTTTCAATTTTTTTATTTATATATATATATATATATATATATATATATATATATATATATATATATAAATAAAATATAATATTAAAATGGAAAAAACAAAAAAATATCCTATTATGCTATTATGCTGTTTTAATGTTAATATAATGTCAACGTCGGATACATTCATACTGTTGGATCTATATCCATATATTTGCTCACACACACACACACACACACACACACACACACACACACACACACACACACATATATATATATTTTTTTTTCTGCACCAGTTAAATCACATTTATGATAGTTTGAGACAATGAGGTTTCAAAGGTAATGATATCCAAATCACGATTTTGTTTTCTCTATCTGTGAATATCTGCTACAAGCTTTTCCCGGTAAGGAATATATTTTATTTCCAGTTTAACTTTAATGACAAATCTTCATCTTTCTCGATTTGTTCATAACTTGCTTGTTAACCATCACTCAATGATGTCATAAATATTACTGGTACATATTCAGATTAGCCATGTCTGGTACAAGGCTAGAAATATGGTGCTCCTAGTATGGAATGTACTTACAGTTGTAATAGACGATGATATTGGTTTTTTAACCATCACTCAATGATGAGGCAAATTATATTGCTATATATTCAGATTAGCCTTGTCTGGCACAAGGCTATAAATACGAAGCACCAAGTATGAGATTAGATTGTCTTTCCTTATTTTGCATAATTCGCCTGTCAAATTTATTGTATTATTCTGAAAATTGATTTTCATATTACTTTTTTGTTTTGTTTATTAACACCACCCCCACCGAAAAAAAAAAAAAAAACTAGCAACATCCGGCCATTAGATTCTGAGAAATGGATAAAAATATTCAAAACTGATGCATGTAATTGAATAATTTTGTCGTTGACTATATCTATCTATCTGTATATATATATATATATATATATATATATATATATATATATATATATATATATATATATATATATTAAGACAGCAAATTTGTCCAAAAACGTGTTACAGCAAAAAATTTCAAGTTTCATCCCTTCAATAATCTCCTGGGTAAAACCTTCTCTACCTTACAAAAAAAAAAAAAATAAATTTTTACCAACCCGCCTACACAATATTTTTAGACCTGGATTCCCGAACAGGCCAACCCATGTACAGCTGAAAAAAGTTAATAGATAAATAAAACGTGGAAAAATTTTTAAACAAAAGTAATTGAAAACGACTGATTTTTTTTTTTTTACTTAATACGAAACCAACAGCTGGATGACATATTTACAGGATAGGTAGAAAGAAATTCCTTATTGAAAAATACTTAGCTTTTGTTAATATCACCGCATTTGCATGAAATAAAATATATTGTGATCCCTAAACAATTTAATTGCAAATTCCTAATTTTATTTCATAGTGTAGTCAAGAATGGCACAACGCCTGACACTGCATGAGCGCGATCAGCTAGCGTCCCGTTACGAAATGCGGCCGTCCGCAGTACAAGTACAGAGATGATGGCGCAGTGTCTAAGGATCGCGTTCTTCAGTCGATGCCAAAAACATCTGAGATCACCATTCAAAGCTAATGAGTAGGAGATCTATGGCAGATACGCAGCATCCAGATTGAGAGAAAATATGCAAAAGGTAGGATTTTAAAACTTACTTAAATCGACTAATAATTAATAAATTAATTAACAATTTTAAATATAGAAATTCTTTCGACTCATCTTACATATATGTATCTATAACAGGTGTAAAAGCAAAATTGTCTGTTTGTTAGATTAAAATCTGAGCCGTTGTATCTTAGAAATGATTAAAGATATCTTACTGGAATTCTCTAACACTAGTGGACTCTGAGCAAGAAGAATTTATAATTACTTTTCAAGCTTAACTGAAGAATCGTGATGAAATCGATCAAACATGATATGTTCATCATTAATTAATCATGACTAAGGATCGGAAGCTCATGAAAGATTGAAATTAATTTCAAATATATATATATATATATATATATATATATATATATATATATATATATAAAGTCATCCAGAACAGACTGTTTCGCTGTTTCACATCTCTTCAGTGTGGCTAGACATCCGGTTGCCTGTAGTTAGGATCTAAACCCGACTGAATTGGTGTCCAGTCGGAGATTCTACCATTAAGCCGTCGGCGCACTTGGCATGGATGAAGGTGAATTTTAGCGTATTTATTTTTAGATAAACACACACATTGACCGACAGTGACTCAATTCGCTTTTGCCGAAGAGTCTCGCTATATCAGCCATAATAAAGAAAGATTTTTATTAAAAAAGACACCTCTTCCCCAGAGAGCTCAACTGAAATTAATTATATATATATATATATATATATATATATATATATATATATATATATATATATATATATTATTCCAGGATCATTTTTCTAACTTATTCAAGATGATCTTCGCCCTTTCTAACCTTCCAAGTTTCTGTCCTGGTGTAACAAGGTCCCTCACACGTTTCAGGTACGATTTCTTTTTCAAATCTTTTTTCACTGCTCTTTGGACTGTCGTAGCTGAAACAATTCTATCACATGCCAAACGTCTAATGGACTGAGTTGGATCTTTTCTAATTGATCTGTTTATTTCTTAGTTGTGACCTCCTGATCCCTTTTCCCTCTCTACTGTTCCCTCTTCTTTTAACCTCATTCAGCGTATGCTTGATGATTCTTGAATGGATTTTGAAAATAGAAGACAGTGTATGAATATTTGTACTATTACTGAAGACCCGAATTATTTTTTCTGACACCTTTACTCAGTTAAGAAGACAAAACGATTTTAACTTGTTCTCTTTCTAGCTGAATAACTGAAAAGGTTTTTTTAGTGATATCTATGACAAAAGTTATCAAAACAGCAAAACATCTGAAAACCTGGGAAAAAAAGTTAGTGATATTTTTTAGATATTAAACATTTTGTGGGATGGACAATTAGGCTGTTATATCCGGTATATATATATAGCAGAGGTTAGCAGTGAATATATATATATATATATATATATATATATATAATTATATTTTTAAATATATTATCATCACAACGAAGAAATTCCCATGTTTCAAAACTGAAACATCAATTCAAATTCAATAATAAAAATTAAACTTAAAATACAAAGTCCCGTTCTATTATGAAGCGAAGCTAAGAATAACTTATTTGAAACTGATTTACTTAAGAGTCTGTCTATATTTCTGAGATGAGGTATTATGCACAGTATTTACATTAGTCGGACTATTGTCCTCATCTTTGTCGCCATATTTGTCACAACGTTTCGGCCGTTGTACGCTCCGGCCTTCTTCAGGTGGTTGGAATTTCGAACTGAACCCTGAACACTGTGCCATGTGTCCTCAAGGACACATGGCACAGTGGATAAAACGTTAGGTTAGATCCAGTGACAGACCCAAAGAAGGTGAGTTCAATACCTGGTTAAGGCAGTGGAGAACTTTCAGAGGGAAAATTAGCAGGAGATAACTGATAACTGACATCTATCAAACATGGCACGTGGAACTAGAACAGTCTACCCCAGTGATCGAAATAAAGGGTTCAGTTCGACATTCCAACCACCTGAAGAAGGCCGGAGCGTACAACGGCCGAAACGTTGTGACAAATATGGCGACAAAGATGAGGACAATAGTCCGACTAATGTAAATACTGTGATTTACTTAATTTATAATTCCAGACAAATTTTGAGATGTTGGAGTTAAGGAAAATTTAATCTTTCTTTTTTTTAGGGATGTTAAGATTTAACTTATTTAGAAAACTAATGTATTGTAGCTATCAAGTCGGTCATTTCAATGTGGGGGCTGGGGTATTTGTCTATTGATGCAAACTTCTTTTTTGCAAGTAGAAATTTGTAGTAGTGTCTATCTTCCAACACATCGTCTGGGTTCATTAGCAATACATTTGGCACTTTTATTTTTTATTCAGTTTTTATTTTTATATAAATTTCGTTGTTGCAAAGATAATATATTTAAAAAAAAAACTGTTCTAATAATATGCTCTACTGTTGTATCAGGCACTGTTTTTAAAAATAAAAATAAATTTTGAACATTCTTGATATATATATATATATATATATATATATATATATATATATATATATATATATATATATGTATGAATGTATGTATTATCTTGGATATTTGCACATATACGTGTTTCTGTGTACGTGTTTACGCCCCATTTTGTTCATCACTCGATTAATTCCAATCGACCTTCTATGTTCCATTGAACCCAAGCCTTTCATTACCATTTTAAGTCATTTATAAACTATTAATTGTACTTTTTTTGTATCTGCCTTAATCGTAGTCTTTCGCTAAAAATAATAAAAAAGGAAAAAAAAAAATAGAAAAATTTTTTTATTACTTCTCCGGCAATCTTCTGACTAATCAATGTTCAGTTATCTTAAAAAAATAAAAATAAATAATTAAAAAAAAAAAGGAACTAGAAATAAAAAATAAAATCACCAATTACCCAGTACCATTGTTTTAGACTCATACCAAATTAGCCATTAAATTAAAATTTCCGGAGGTCGTCCCGTGGGGTGGTGGTGGTTGCAAGATGTAAATTTCGACTCACCTTCAGCCTCGTTTCGTTTTGTTCAATCAGGGCTAGAGAGAATTTAAGAGAGTAAAGAAGAAGGCAAATTGAAAAATTTATTTTAGATTGATACTCGTTTGAGCAGACGACTTCCAATGGCGGGTGAATAAAACGGTTTAAAATTAGTTTACGGGATTCGTTTTATGGGCGACACACCCTTGACGGCCATATTGAGCTAAAAGATCTCGTTAGGAATAAAATAGTTCCCTTTAAGTCTTTTTGCATAACTTTTCTCTTGGCTTAGCGTAGGAATACGTTCTCCTCATTAGCTCGATAAACTGTTTTTTTTTTTTTTTTTTTATACTTCAACACACACATACAAACGCACATACACACACAGAGAAACACAGAAACAAATGCACACGCACACACATACATACATACATGCATAAACATACACATACATAAGTGTGACGTGTTTTGACCTCTTGGATAAAGAGCGCTTCGACGGACAAGTAATGTCTGAATATTACCATTAACCACAGACCTTTCTCCGATTTTCGAACTAAACATAACAGCTCAGTTTTCTATCCTGACGCAAACAAAGCAATTTTAAAAGAAAGGAATGGATTTTTTTTTTAATTTATTTATTAACAGATTTTTATTACTCAAGAATTATTTTTAGCAGAGAGCACATATTTTTCTAATTTTCTTTTTGAATATTCAGGCCGACAGACGAAAATAAATGAGATATTAAATAATAAATAAAATGATAAATAAAATACACTAAAAATAACGTTAGAGTAAAATATAATTTACCAAAAAAATGGCATTAAATTATTAATTTAGAAAGAAGATAAATATGTTTTTAAAAGAGAAATAACTGCTGTTTAGATCGAATAGCAAGAGAGATAACTCGGCAGTTATATATATGCATATATAACATCATATATATATAATATATATGATAAATTATAGTTTTAAGGTATGCTATATTTATAGGATAAAGTGCTCAATATCATGGATAGAACGTATGTTATTCATCATGAAGGTCGTCTTCGAGTATAGAATTCAGAGGTTAGCAGTGAATATTTCGAAGACAGTAGGAAAGCGTTGTTCAGGTTAGCAGTGGATATTTCGATAAAAGTAGCAGAGCATAGTTCGGCCTTCTGGTTCTCTTCGCCTGACAAGCTGGACTGGACATTCGGGTAGAGTGAACAAAAATGGTCGCCTTTATACATGACGGATTGAATATTTTACGTCTTCTGATTGGTAGACTATAAAGCGAGTCAAAGGCATTTGGACTAACTCACTAGTTATATATATATATACATACATATACACAAAAACTGTAACAACGTATGTAAATATAAAAGTGGACATTGAAGTTAATACCCAGAGGCGACAGTCTGTTTCATGTTAAACGCAATCGTCATGATAACGATTGTGCTTAGCATGAAATGGCATGTCCATTTATATATTCAGTTGTATGGATTAAAGTTTGTATAACTCATATCCATACAACTGAATATGTTAGCTCTATCGCTGATATTGAGCGCTTTCATTAAGTATCGCGCATATATCTATATCTATATCTATCTATCTATATATATATATATATATATATATATATATATATATATATATATATATATATATAAAAAGATCCTTATATATAAACGTTTCATCCATAGCAAAGCGATAATGTCACTGGAACGTAGCTGGTTACAGAGAATGAAAGACGATGAGAAAACTATAGATGGGTGGGGGGGTAAATATGTTTTTAAAATGGAAATAACTGCTGCTTAGATCGAATAACAAGGGATTTAACTCGGCAGTTATATATATATATATAACATAATATATATATAATATATATGATAAAATATAGTTTTAAGGTATGCTATAATTAGGGGTTAAAATTCTCAATAGAATATATGTAAATATAAAAGTGGACATTGAAATTAATACCCAGAGGCAACAGTCTGTTTCGTGCTAAAAGCAATCATCAGCCATATCTATCTATCTATCTATCTATCTATCTATAAAGAAAGAACAGTAAGATATATAATCCGGTGTTCTTATTGACATTTTTTTTACAAAATAGTGCTCAATGTAAATTTACAGAGCATCAATTGACTCCAAAATTCGCTTGAGAATGAAATGGAACTATTGTTTTTAATTTAATTACAAAATTAAATTCGATGCTTTTAGCTTCCATTTTCGAAACATGGTTATTACTGCGTAACGAAAAAATATTTTAAATCACTTAATTTATAATATATATATATATATATATATATATATATATATATATATATGTGTGTGTGTGTGTGTGTGTGTGTGTGTGTGTGTGTGTGTGTGTGTGTGTGTGTGTGTGTGTATTTATTTGCAAATGGGTTTATTTGTCCTACCTAAAATAACGGGCCATATCTGTCAATTTGTTGTATAGACTTATGTACAAAGTTCCATACTTTAAGGAAAAAATTTCTCTATCCTTTCCATACCGTCTCTCCATCTCACTTTTTAAAAGATCCTGACCATCCGTCAATTTTCTTCTTCCTCTCCTTCTCCCTTCTCTTCTCTCTTGCTTTCCCTTCCCTTCCCCCCTGTCAATCTAATGTATCAATCCAGGGCATTGTCTCCATTTAATAAGAGATTTCGGTCTGAAGAGATGAATATATAGATATTCACGAAATAGACTATAACCGAAATAAATCTTTAAAGTTTTTCTTCTTGATTTCCGTCAATTTTAACACATTCACACTTGCATTCAATCAAATGTGTTGCATCTGTGTTTTCCATTGAGTGCACCTCATTTAGCAGATCACAGAAAAAGAAGTTAATTTTTCTTCTATCAACAAAACCATGTTTAATCTGTGAAGCAAAAACACAAGTAAGTGAGATTTCCTATGCATCCCGACTTTAGGGACACATTGTATTTAACCCTTAGCTGGGGGAGAGAAGATGTGGATTCCTACCTTTCCCAAGGTCATTTGCGCGTAATTGAATACAATGAACCCGACTACAATTGGAACTAGGCACCCCAATCTTTAGTTCGGATTTGTCATCCATTACTCCACTCGCTCGCACATCAAAGATTACAACACCTGATATTACCAAACAGTACCCATCTAGGTACTGACCAGTTTCGACGTTGCTTAAGTTCGAGATGGAACGTTGTATATAATTGTTGTGGCCTTGTTTGGGCCAGAAATAAAGACACAAGAGAGGAACTGAGTTAAACAAATATATTAACAGAAACAGTAAAACAAACATGTGCACACGAGAATGTTACAGCAAGAATGTTCGGTCCGACTGTCAGAGCTGACTGCTGGAAACTTCCCTCTCCAAAAGGTAGTGCCTGCTCCTATTTATAGCTGGGAATGTCCATGCTTGCTTGGGTAAATTACCATAATACTATCTAAGCTTGTTCATCTATCTATCTATCTATCTATCTATCTATCTATCTATCTATCTATCTATCTATCTATCTATCACCGTCTCTTCATATCTATCTATCTATCTATCCTGTCTATGTGTCTGTCTATCTATATCAGTCTTTTCAAATCTATCTATCTATCTATCTATCTATCTATCTATCCTGTCTGTCTGTCTATCTATATTAGTTGTTTCAAATCTATCTATCTATCTATCTATCTATCTATCTATCTATCTATCTATCTATCTATCTATCTATCTATCACCGTCTCTTCATATATATCTATCTTGTCTATATGTCTGTCTATCTATATCAGTCTTTTCAAATCTATCTATATATCCTGTCTCTTTGTCTATCTATTTCTATCAGTTGTTTCAAATCTACCTCTCTCATTCTTTTCATATCTATCTATCTATCTATCTATCTATCAGTCTGTTCATATCATCTATCTATCTATCTATCTATCTATCTCTATCTCATCTCTGTATCTCATCTGTTCTATCTATCTATCTATCTATCTATCTATCTATCTAGTCTGTTCATATCTCTTCTATCTATCTATCTATCTATCTATCTATCTATCTATCTATCTGTTGTGGCCAGAGAGGAATTGAGTTAAACAAATATATTAACAGAAACAGTAATGCAAAACATACAAACGAGAGTGTTACAGCAAGAATGTTCGGTTCGACTGTCAGAGCTGACTGCTGGAAACTTCACCCCACCTCACCTCCCCAAAAAGGAAGTAAATGCTCCTATTTACACCTAGGAGATTCCATGCGTGCGTGGGTAAATTTCCATAAGAGATAACAATGCATAACTTTGTATAAATACTTATACTAATGAACAATATATATAGTTTTGTACTACTTGCACCCCTGAAGATGATCTTGGAAGAACATTGAAAGTACTTGGGAAATGAAAATAAAGAAATTTAAACAGCTATAGCACATTTATTCATCAATACACGGAAGGTTATTCGTGTGTATGAAAGTATTTTGTTAAAAAATTAGCAGACATCACGTCTGTAGTTTATTCAATCAGACATGTCTAAAAGAGATTTTTCTACCTAAATACACAAATTTCATATACATATATATATATATATGTAAAAGTGTAAAAGTTTCTAAGAAATTTTGTAGAAAAAGACAATATTTATAGCTGGGAGATTCCATGCGTGCGTGGGTAAATTTCCATAAGAGATAACAATGCACAACTTTGTATAAATACTTATACTAATGAACAACATATAGTTTTGTACCACTTGAACCTCTGAAGATGATCTTGGGAAAAGATCGAAAGTACTTAGGAAATGAAAATAAAAGAAATTCAAACAACTATAGCACATTTCTCTCAGCTTTTAACACCAATACACGAAATGTTATACGTGAGTATCAAAGTAATTTGTTAAAAAATTAGAAAACATAATGTCGATAATTTATTCATTCAGACATGCCTAAAAGAGAATTTGCTACCTAAATACACAAATTATATATATATATATATATATATGAAGAAATATAGTCTTAAGGTGTGCTATATTTATGGGATAAAGTGCTCAATATCAGAGATAGAGGGTGTGTAAATATAAAAGTGAACATAGAAGTCAACACTTAGAGGCCACAGTATGTTTCATGCTATATGCAATCGTCAGGCCACGTGTGCTGTTATTTTTCTCGGCTATTTATATATATACGGGTCAGTGGTGCATTGTGGGTAGTCTATTAAGGCCGAGAAAAATAACAGCACACGTGGCCTGACGATTGCATATAGCATGAAACAGACTGTCGACTTCTATGTTCACTTATATATATATATATATATATATATATATATATATATATATATATGTAAAAGTGTAAAAATTTCTAAGATATGTAAAAGTTTCTATATATGTAAAAGTGTAAAAGTTTTTAAGGAATTTTGTAGAAAAAGTCAATATTTACAACTGGGAGAGTTCATGCGTGCGTGGGTAAATTACCATAACACTATCTAAGCCCGTTCATCTATCTATCTATCTATCTATCTATCTATCTATCTATCTATCTATCTATCTAAGTCTCTTCATATCTATTTATATAAGTCATTCTGTTCATTATCTATCTATCTATCTATCTATCTATCTATCTCAGTCTGTTCATATCTATCTATATATCTATCTATCTGTCTGTTGTGGCCTTTTCAGGGTCAGAAATAAAGACACAAGACTGACTGCTGGAAACTTCACCCCACCTCACCTCCCCCAAAAGGTAGTAACTGCTCCTATTTACACCTAGGAGAGTCCATGCGTGCGTGGGTAAATTACTATAACGGTAATGAATTTTTCTTATTGATATTTTGCAATGTATTTATTTTTGATTTTTGATTTTCAAGTAACGCAAAACAAAACGAACTATAATCGTTTATTCAGTAATTTGGCCTGTGAAGGTGATTATAGCTAATCCTCTTTAATACTTAAGAGTTAGAAGTGTACAGTTTTAAATTTATTGTTGTAGGCTGGTGCCGTTTTCTTTATTTTCTATACTATTTTTGCCAGTTTCTCGAGCCGCCCAGGAATGGCGTCAACTGATTTCACCAGGAACTCTTGTAGTATGGAAGACATAACTTCTTGTATTCACCCGTCAGTTTCTTCCAAAGTCTTTGGTTTGGTATAGTAGAATTGCTTGTTTAATCTATATATATATATATATATATATATATATATATATATATATATATATATATATATATATATATATATATATATATATATATCTATCTCTCTCTCTCTCTCTCTCTATATATATATATATATATATATATATATCTAGAGATATTCTCTCTCTCTCTCTCTCTCTCTCTATATATATATATATATATATATATATATATGTCTCTCTCTATATATATATGTCTCTCGCAGTCTTACCCGCAATCCATTACTCAACCGTATCTCCGTGGAAGTTTATAAAAAAATGCTTTAATCGCAAAATCATCCGCATTAAACTTGCGTCCAGGTTTTAACAACACTTCACCATTCTTAGCAGATCTTCTATTATCACAATGTGCGACATTTAATAACAAACTGATGGAAACATAAACAAAAAGCCATCCTGGGTATGACGATAAATTCCATCAGACAGCAAGGTCAGGACTCCTGGCTGTCCACTCATATATAAAATAGGGATTACATTTTAATGATCCCTATAGGTGAATTAACAGAATTAAATGCCAATCGAAATATATTTTTTAAAAAATGTGTTGTTGTTAATGGATGCAAACTTTTGGAGCGTGTAGTCGCAACGCTAAGGTTGGATTTCTTTGAAAATTTAAGAGTGCGTTTTTTTTTTTTTACTAATATGGAAATTTGAGAATGTTTTTGTTGTTGTAGGAGTTTATCAGTCAATGTGGTATGAACTAAATTACTCAATAAATAGAGTAATATCTCAGTTTTTATTTGTCTCGGACGCAAGCAGATTTTTACCAAAAACAAAATAATTTCCATACCTGAAGATGATTGAATGTTCAGTCGAAAGTACTTGCGTATTAAAGAAAGATCTTATATAGCTTATAATTTTTAAAAACAAGGATCATAACATTCATCGAGTGATTTGTAGGTTAATGCAATTTAAAATTTTGTTTGCGAAGAGATTTCGCCATTTTATATCATTAACTTTACTAATCTATTTTTGCATGAATGATTTATTGTAATATAAATTTAACTGCACCACAAATTTATATATATATATATATATATATATATATATATATATATATATATATATATATATATATATATTATTAGATGACAAATTAGAAACACATTTTCGTGTGACGTGGTGCGTCCTTTTGGATTTAATTCAGACTATTTAATTTTGTTTTCTTTTTTAAAAAAACAGAACGAATCAATATATATTATTCTCCCTAAATTCCATCAGGCAGCAAGGTCTCTGTACAAGCGGTTTTGATGAGCGTGGAACCACCTCTTAATTGCTGGTGTTTCTCAGTTCACCCTGATCCAGGGTAGTAGTACCTTTTAGGGTCCCAGCTATAGGCTAATAGTTAACCCCCAAACTGGGGTCAAAACACTTTGAAAGAGTAAAAATTTGTTTTAATACCAGTAATACATTTTGAAGAAAACATTATTACCAGAAATTAAAATCTTGCCGTATTTAGTCATGTGTGATACACGCTAAGGCGATCATGTATCTTTCGATACATGACTGACGAGGCAGATTTTTTCCACGCAGTAGGTTACCATTTCTTTCTATGGTAGACCAGATGTCATCAAAGGCTACAGAACTCAGTCTGTCCTACTATATACACATAGCTGGGGGGGGGGAGAAGTGGATTCAAACTTTTCCCAAGGGTATTAGCACGTAAGTGAATGTAATGGATTCGACTGGAATTCGAACTCGGCTCTCCGATTATTCAATCCGAGCTGCTATGCATTACTCCACCGTGCCTCCCAGTATTAAGTAACTCATTGAGATTGATATGCCGTAAAACTAACCAAACATAAACCAACACCATAAACAACAACAAAAAAAAATAAAAAAAATAAATGAATTGGCTTGACTATATACTCCAAAACACAGATTAAAATATGTAACTTGAAAGCTTAAAATTTTAGCGTCTTTACTTCTTCATGCGCATGTGTAGTTACATCAAGGTAAACATCACTTTAATCTGATAAATTCCAAGAGAAAAAACACGTCAAGCGAATTTTTTTTCCACTTTGTCATTAATTTTCCTCATGTATAAAAATGTATATATAATGTTCTCTCATATAATCTAAGTCAAGTCAAAAATGAATGACAAATGCATTAAAAGATTTTTATAATAATAATAATAATAATAATGATACACATTCTGGTAAAATAACTTTTCTTTCATTTTGCCGTCGCTGACGTAATCAAACAAGCAAGAGAAAGATTACTAATAAATGGGGAAAAATATTTAAAAAAGAACAACACATAAAGGCGGTATGCAACATCATTTAAAATGTTCGAGGAATGAACATTTTCCAGTTGGTCTGATCGATGACACAAATAAGAATTTCGCATGACAGCCCTGAAGATCTCCGTTCCATCTCTCTTCAGAATGGCACCAATCGGAAGCAAAGAATTTGAAGTGGGGCTTGTAAGGCTTTATTTGAAAGATTCTATGGTCAACTCTTCTAGTAAATGTGACAGATGCTTGCACCAAAATGCAGCATCTTGGCATTTGGTGCCATCATTGGTAATGTCTTTAGAAATGGAAGCAGACGGCTAGGAGCCTTATTTGCAGATGTGTATTTTTTTTTGTCTTTTGCGCTGGTTTTATGAGCTTCAAGAAGAAAAACGTGTGTCATAGTTATAAACAGGGATCATATCATTCATATACAGGTTCAGGGTTGGTGTATCTTATTGATATTGTTTGCGAAGATGTATTCTCGCCATTTAAATCATTAACCTCTATATTTGTTTTTTTATGAATGATTCATGTATTTATAAATTAAAATTGCACCTATAATTGAAATATATATATATATATATATATATATATATATATATATATATATAGATTTTTGAACTGTCGATAAAAGTTTATTTAATATTTTAATGAGTTTTCCAGCATTCTAACATATTCCTTTTCCCCAAAAAATATTTCTTTGAAGAGAACTAAAAAAAAAAAAAAAAAAAAAAAAAAAAACAAACACTAGTCGACAATAATTTTTCTGTTTCTTAATACATCATTGATTTTTAAAATGAAAAAAATACAGTGTCGACGTCAGTAACAAAAATACAACACCAGAAAACATTTAACATCTTTAATTTTAATCCAGATTTGCAAAATAATTATAAGCATGATGACCTTTTATTAACAAGGATCAAATCATTAAACACCATATTTTTGCTGTAACCTCTTGAACTTTTTTTTAATTTATTTTTGTTCATCTTAAATCATTAACCTCTATTATCATTCACTGAAAAAAAAAAAAATAAAAATAAAATACCTCAAGTATATATTTATAGCTACTGAATCAGATCATGGTCTGTTTATTTATATAAGACCTACCTCGATATTAATTACTTCATCCCAACAAAAATTTCATAGAATTAAATAAGTATTTAAAAAAGAACTGAAAACATCCGCTTGCAGATTTTTAATTCGTGTCGTTACGTGTTAAGTATTACTGATCTTAAAAAAAAAACCAAACAAACATCGACAGCTCCTTGCCGAAAAAAAAAGACATTTACAATTCAAGAAATGTCAACAAATATTATTAAAAATCTTTCCAACAATTTTCAGGGTATATGACTTTTCCCTACCAGTGGATATAATTGATCAGTCTAAAAAAAATTTAACAATCAGCTCTAGAAAAATATAAAAAAAAAAAAAATCCTAAACCGATGATTTTCCAATTTTAAACACACAAAACTTTGTTTACGTAGATCGTCAAATCAAATGAGAAATGTATTTAAATAAATAACACAATCTCCTGGTTCAAAAATCCGACAAAAAAATGTTAACTGCAAATGAGGAAAACTTCCGTTCAGTCACTTCCATGATCAAACTGCCGTTAATTAACAGATTAATAAGAAAATAAAAATATAAATATTTTAATAACTGACAGATGAATCTCCTAAAAAAAATCACAAATTTCAAATCTACTTCAATTAATCTTGGTATGTAATACGAGCCGTATATCGCTTAATTGGAACCCAATGGCTCTTATCGATTCAGGTAAATACAACAGGTCGTAATGCAATGGTTAGCATGAAAGATAATTCTGAAAATATGGTATTGTGTCAAATTTTATCACATTTGAATATTTAAATTTCCATGTCCAACATTCTAATTTTTTAGTCGATTTTTTATGTCCAAAATACCAGTTATTTTTATAAAGCTTAAACAAAAATGACTGACATATTAAATTCAAACTGACAACGATATAAAACGCCATTACAAATTTTTTTAAATATGTGTTTGTATTTATATGATATATATATATATATATACAATACTGAGATATACACACTGTTTGCCATCGTCATATACAAAAAATATAAATATATATATTTTTGAAACTAAGTCCGATCCGATTTCAAAAATTCAGTCTGATGTCAAGTTGGTAGTTGTTTATGAAGACCTTAAAAATATATAACATGTACTGTATCACGACCTAACAGTTTAAATATTTCTCTTGTCATCAAATTCATATTTTTTTTTTTT